TCCTATGAACTTTCCTCTCAGCACTGCTTTCAGAGTGTCCCATAGGTTTGGTGTGGTGTGCTTTCATTTTCATCGAATTTTAGGAAGTCTTTGATTTCTTTCTTTATTTCTTCCTTGACCCAGAAGTGATGCAATTGAGCATTGTTCAATTTCCATGAGTTTGTATGGTTTCTGTAATTTGTGTTGTTACTGAATTCTTATTTTAAGCCATGATTGTCTGATAAGATACAGGGGGTTATTCCAAATTTTTGTGTCCTGGAGGTTTGCTTTATTGCCGAGTATGTGGTTGATTTTAGAGAAGGTTCCATGTGGCGCTGAGAAGAAGGTATATTCTTTTGTGTTTGGATGGAATGTTCTATAGATGTCTGTTAAACCCAATCGGGTCATAACTTCTGTTAGCTCTGTGAAGTTTCTGTCTGGTAGTCCTGTCTAGTGGTGAGAATGGGGTCTTGGAGTCTCCCACTCTAATGTGTGATTTGAGTTTTAGTAATGTCTCTTACAATGTGGGCACCTTTGTATTTGGTGCTTAGATGTTCAGAATTGAGACTTCATCTTGATGATTTTTTTCCTGGGTTGAATATGAAATGACCTTCTTCATATCTTTTGATTAATTTTAGTTTGAAGTCTACACCAGCTTGCTTCTTAGGGCCATTTGATTGGAAAGTCTCTTCCTAACCCTTAACTCTGAGATAATGTCTGTCTTTAAAGGTGAGGTGTGTTTCTTGTATACAGCAGAAGGATGGATTCTGTCTTCGTATCCATTCTGTTAGCCTGTGTCTTTTTATAGGTGAGTTAAGACCATTGATGTTGATAATGACCATTGATTGTTGATTCTTGTTTGTTTTTGGTGGTGGTTTTGTGTGTGAATTTTTTCCCTTTTTCTGGCTTTTAGTAAAGTGGAATTATTTATTGCCTATGTTTTTGTGAGTGTAGTTAACTTCCTTGGGTTGGAGTTTTCCTTCCAGAACTTTCTGTAGGGCTGGATTTGTGGATAAGTATTGTGTAACTTTGGTTTTGTCATGGAATATCTTGTTTTTTCCATCTATAGTGATTCAGAATTTTCCTGGGTATAGTAGTCTGGACTGGCATCTATTGTCTCTTAGTGTTTGTTGAATATCTATCCAGGACCTTCTGCCTTTCAGAATTTCCATGGAGAAGTCAGGTGTAATTCTGATAGATCTGCCTTTAGATGTTTACTTGGCCTTTTTCCTTCACTGCTCTTAATAGTCTGTTTTTATTCTGTATGTTTGGTGTTTGATTATTATGTGGTGAGGGGACTTTTTTCTTTTTTCTTTTTTCTTTTTTTTTTTTTTTGGTTTTTTTCGAGACAGGGTTTCTCTGTATTGTTTTGGAGCCTGTCCTGGAACTCTCTCGGTAGACCAGGCTTGGTCTCGAACTCACAGAGATCCACCTGCCTCTGCTTCCCGAGTGCTGGGATTAAAGGCGTGCACCACCACCATCCGGCCACTTTTTTCTTTTTTTGATTCAGTCTAGTTCGTGTTCAGTAAGCTGCTTGTATTTCCATAGGCATGTCCTTCTTTAAGTTGGGAACGTTTTCTTCTATGGGTTTGTTGAATGTTTCCTTTACATTTGAGGTGGGCTTCCTTGACTTCTTTTATACCTGTTATTCTTAGGTTTGGTCTTTTCGTGGTGTCCCATTGTTCCTGCATATTTTGTGTTTAGGATGTTTTGGATGTAAGATTTTCTTTGGTCTACAAATCTTATTTCCTCTAGTTTATCTTCAGTGCCTGAGGTTCTCTCTTCCATCTCTTTTATTCTGTTGGTTATGCTTGCATCTGTAGTTCCTCATCCTTTACTCAGCTTTTCTATTTCTAGCATTCCCTCAGTTTGTGTTTTCTTTATCGACTGACTCTATTTCAGTTTTCAGGTCTTGAACTGTTTGAATTGTTTCCTTCATCTGTTTAATTGTTTTTTCATGGCTCTCGTTGCTTTCTTTAAGAGATTTGTTGATTTCTTGCATTTTTTGGTTTGTTTTTTCTTCTATTTCTTTAAGGGATTTTCTCATACCCTCTTTGAGAGTCTCTATCATTTTCATGAAGTTGTTTTTAAGGTCATTCTCTTCTGTTTAATCTGTGTTGGGATGTTCAGGTCTTGCTGGTGTAGAGACCCTAGACTCTAGTGGTGTCATAAGTCTTTCTATTGTTGACTCAGTTCTTATACTGTTGTCTTCCCATCCCTTCTACCAGTTGGTATTGGTGGGGTCTCTCCCAAGGGTGGATATGTGTTCAAGGCTCTATCATCTCTTTCCTGGAGGGTGCTGGGGCCAGACAAGAATGGCAGCCAATGCTGAGTGCATGTTCTGCCTTTAGATTCCCCCCACCTCTTTCTTTTTACTGGAGGATGGGGGCACAAGACAGGAATGGTGGCTGATGCTGGATGCTTTGTTCTACCTCCAGGTCCCTCCAGGGAATTGGGTGGCAATTTTTACAAAGAAAATTTTTCATATTTTGTTACTGGAATCTAACAGTTACCTTGAGGGAGAGAGGGTAGGGTTTGTAATCCTTTTTTTCTAGAAAAGAAAGCAAGTCAGACATAAGCTGATTTGCTTCAGTTCACATCTGGTAAGTCATGAAGTTGAACTTGAAACTAATTCTTCTGACTTATGCAGTATCTAAAATGGACAGGGAAAAGGATACACTTGTTTGTGGTTAAAGTCAGAACCAAACAGTTTAGTACAATTTGGCTTTCTGTCTTTACCAGGACATAATATACTAGCTGACCACTAGTAATTTTATTGAACAAATAGACTAGGAAATATTTAAATACATAGATTGCTAAGATTTTATCTGTTTATTGGTAGTACTAAGTATTGCTCAGCATGCTAGGTAAGTGCTCTATATTTCCAACCCCAAGCATGAACTGTAATATCACTACTCACTGCTATGGTAACTCATTCATTCCTGCAAAGTTTTAAGGTATAGATGAATTCATTTATGTAAAGTTGTTTAGTTAATCTAAGAGTTCTCATTTTAAATGGTTTGATTCACTTAAACAGAAATAACAATGTTTTAAGCAAATGTATCACTATGATGTGGTATTAGGGGATAAATATTAGACTGCATTTTCAAATAATAGATCTTAGTAAGGTTTCTTTTAGCACTTTTTAGATGCAGTTCTATAGCTTTAAATAACTTGTAACAAAGTTCATTTGGCAAATCACTGTGTTTTATTTCGCCCCTTAACACTTGTTCCTCATTCCCAAGATCTAAAAAGATAGTAGCTGTTTGGCGATAGAGTCAAACCATAGTGAAAATTTCAGTGGAAGATTTTTCTGTCGTTTGTTTCAGCAGTGAGAGAAACTGATTGGCCTCAGCCCTTGCTCATACCTCTTTGTGAAGCCTTCCATGGTCTGGTTTCTGCTACCTTACCAGCCCCTCCCCACTTAACCTACATTCATGAATTTAAATTCATGGAATTATGTAAAAAATGAATAAATAATTTAGAGTTCCTGTTTTTTCTACCCTACCCTTCAGGAATGTGAAAACAGTCTTCTAGAAGTAGTTCTTTCTGTTGTGTATCATAAATCCCCAAACGAATGCAAACAAAAAACCCACAAACCTATCTGGTGGCAGAGACTCCATGTACAAAGTGTGCTCCTTAAATCATAAACTTCCTGATGTTTTCTCTTTGGTTAAATTTCTCATTAAATTATTGGATTGATTTGATAGTGCTGTGTTAGTACTTTGAGTCTTAGCTTCATTCTGTCCATTGAAAGAACTTTAGAGAAAGCCCACATACATATATCTCTTTTGTGATATATTTTCTACTGAGATCATTAGGCTTTCCCTTCCCATTGCACCAATATATTTTTGTTTTTTTAACTTGTTTCCAACTGTCTTCCTTCTCTTTGTACTGTTCCTTTTTCTCTCTTTTTCTTTTCTCTCTTTCCCCGGTTTTAACTCTTTTCTTTTTTACGTAAGTTTTATATATTTCCTCTAAGAAATAAATGATTTCTGTAGAGTAAAATCCTTGTCACAGCTTAGTGGTTGGTTCATGAAAGCAAAATTTTAGTTAGTTATCCAGCTAACTTGTTTGCCTGCTGTATTTTATTATAATAAGGATACTTAGATATACTGTATTAACAAATTTGAAAATATACCATATACTACTATTTTGGGTAGACAAGGTCTTGTACAGCAGATCTCTAAAACTTTTCTTCTGTAACTGAAATATTTTACTCTTGTAAACTAATTAAACTCAGAGAAACAAAGAATAGCATGGAGGGTACCAGGGACTAGGAGGAGGGAAGTACCCAACTGCCAATTAGTAAGGAATTATTTTTTCTGGCTATCATTGTGTGCAGGTATGTGATCAGTTGTACTTGACGTGGAAAGAAAATAGTGAATTTGGTGACTTGAGTTAAAGAACAATTGTTTTTCTAGTTCTGCAGTTTCCTGCTAACAACCACATCACTACTCTCCTACCCCAGTACAAAATAGAAAAAGATAAACTACCAAGATTGCTTCTTTCAAAACACTATCACATGTAGGTGTTCCTAGATCTTGACAGAAGACACATGTGAAAAAGAAGCTTCAATTAGCAGTCATTTTCTCACTAAATTGCTAACATTTTATTTGATAATTAGTTTAAGAAACAAATCATGAGCACAGCTAACACTGTTATATTAATATAGAAATGCCAGGATTTGGGTCATCTGAATGTCACTAACAGCATCAAAATCAAGTGTGAGCAGATGCACTTATTCCTTACAAGACTCACTGTACTGTTTCCCACACTGTGTAGAGCTCAATGCATTTTGATCACTGTGTATGTACTTTGAGTACTGCCTATTACAAATCAGCAACCTAGGTACTTTGGCCTTTGTTGATAATGACTTTGCTAATGATTGTGTTAGCTACCTCACAGTCTGAATTGTCAGCCTCTCCTCCCCACTAGACCATTTTTCTCTGCTTTCTTCTCCTCTAATCGTTTCTTTTTTCTTCATCCCTCTTTCCTTCACTCCTCCATGATTTTCTCAGGGCTGGGCTTCAATATCGTCGGTGGGACAGATCAACAGTATGTCTCCAATGACAGTGGCATCTACGTCAGCCGCATCAAAGAGGATGGGGCTGCGGCCCAGGATGGGCGGCTCCAGGAGGGTGATAAGATCCTCTCGGTGAGAAATGCCTTCGGCTCCCTTTGCTATACTTTGTTCCCCTGACTTCCTCTGACCCCTTCCTTAGGAAGATACCTAAATTGTATCATTGAATGGGAAGAACATTGATCAGTCTTCCAACTTTACCACTGGGCTTGGAGGTTATTATTCTTGTTTGACAGACAAGGCAAATTTAACATAGATTGTGAAATTACTTGCCCTAGTTCAAAACATAAAGCAAGTAGAGATGAAGGATGGGTTTGGAGGAAGAGTTAAGCCCACAGTTGTCACCTTTCTCTTGTTAACTTTATCACCTCTCTTTTGTTGATTAAAATACTGATTTGTGCCTTTTCTTGGGATATTGCCAGCTCTTAGTAATGGTCTTAACTTCAAAAAGGGAGGTAAGGATTAAGTTTCTTCCTTAAATTCAGGGCCCTTCTTTCCCATTATTAAGATGAAAAATTGAAATAGTTTGTATATGTCAGTTGTGCCCCCATTTCATCCTGTTAATGTATACTAATCATGACTTTTATTAATTTTTTTATATACTCAAAGACGATAATTAAATTAAAAACTTTCCATGTCTTAGTACAGCTCAATATAGGCTTTTCACAAATGAGAATTCATGCAAACTTAGAAAGGTTGACTAACTAGTACAGTCCGTTAGCCTTTAAAAATTATTATTATTACTATTACTCTGTGTGTGTGTGTGTGTGTGTGTGTGTGTGTGTGTGTGTGTGTGTGTGTGTGTGTGTAGGGGCATGTGTGCACATGAGTGCTGGTGCCCATGGAAGCAAGAGGTATTGGATCCTCCTGGAGCTAGAGTTACAGGCAATTGTGAGTTGTCCCATGTGATTGCTGGGAACTGAACTCAGGTCCTCAGAAAGAACAATGCATGCTTTTAACTGCTGAGCCAGCTCTCCAGCTCCAGACCTTTAGTTTTAGAATAAATTGAATATTTCTAAAGTAAATCAGAATCCAGGCAAAATAAAACTCTTATTTGTGGCTGTATTTTTCATTTCTGTTCTGCCTCACTGGCTATAGTGTCATTATTATACTATCAGTTGTAGGAATTGGGAACGATTAGATCATGCTATAGATTTTTTAAAATTAATGTTCTGGGCTATTATTCAACTTATTTGTATGGAAATAACACACATAATTGGTATAAAGAATGGAAAAGTACTGAGAGAGTGAATTATTATTGAGGATTTCCTGGGAGTTAGATCTGATTACAAAGGGCTGTGCTCAAATTAAGAGACATTTGAAGTAGGATGGGACTGTTTCCACATGTAGATTGTGGCCCATGGTCTGAAGAAGAAAAACCATTTCCTACTTTGTCTTATGAACAAAGAGGGCTAAACTGATAGAAGGCTGAAGTAAATGAAGTGTAGACCAAGACAAGATTTGATTAAGAGTTAATTACTATATCAGAGACTTGATTTAGAACTCCCATAAAACAGGAATATTCTTTATAAAGTTCTAATTACAGTTTTGTTTTCAATTTTCTCTTTTGAATTACCTGTAATAGAGTCCAGCTGATTAGTGATAAAAGTCATATGTGTGAAGTCTCCTGGTCATCTTAGATACTTCCCTGCCATTCAGTTCATTTGGTAGCAGTATATGAAGACAGGAAGAACGTATACTTTTTTTTTTATATTTGACATCTGAGTATTTGAGAGATCTGTTTCAGTTTTGAATGTCTTCTTAGGAAGACACTCAGCCAGGATTGGGGGCACACACCCATAATCCTCCGATACTCAAAAGGTAAAAGCAGGAACATTTTGAGTTGAAGTCAGTTGTGAATTACTTACTTAGCAAGATCCTGTCTCAAAAAAGAGGTACACATAAATCCAAGACAAGTAGTTATGAACGCTTATAAATTAAGAATCTTAATGTGTTCAATATGTAAGTGCCATGGATGGCATTATTTTGGTCCATCTCACTGACTGGCATGTTTCAGCTTTTCCTAGTCCTTCTACATTAGACTGCAAGATAGGGATAGTGATAACTGCCTTCATTATGAGAACAATAATGAAGAATTTAGGAACAGGTATTTTGTCATTCTCAGAAGAAAGACATTGTAAAAATACAAACCAACTTTGCAGTAGGAGAGAAAAGAAAAACCGTGAGTGGGTTGTTAAAGGTACAATGTGTAATTAATATTTTACACAGAAATCACAATCTCTTCAAACACTAGCACCCTGAGTGAAGAGAAATTTGAAAAGTATAGGGTTCAGTATAGGACTTAAAGAGAGAGACATGTTTGGAAAGCTTCACTTAAAGGCAGCTTATCTAAAAAAGAGTTATAAACAATTTTTAAGCACAAATGATAACTTTTAATGTAATCTTGTATAATATTAGAGTATAATATAATGGGTTTTAATATTAGAGTATAATATAATGGGTATAATGATTATGCACATTTTCCAGCTAAGGAAACTGAGGCTTAATAAAGTCAGATGGTTTACAAGTGACATAACTAGTTTGGGGAAATAAAACTTTCATTTATCTAAATTTGGATACTTTGCTAAAACTAATACTAATATTAACACTATATTGTCTTCCTAAAAGGCAAGTGAATAAGCAAGATTAACTACTCTAAAAAGGGAGTTACCTAGTGAATAACTAGTAGATGATGAAATGGCTCTATAAAAAAAAAAACTGAAATTAACCTTTCTATCAAGGGTAGAATTAATGGTATACCCCACCTTTAATCCCAACACTCAGGCAAATGCAGGAAGATTTCTATGAGTTCAAGGCCAGCCTGGTCTACAGAGCAAATTCCAGGACAGCTAGAGCTGCACAGAGAAATCCTCTTTAAAAACAAAACAAAACAAAAACAAAAAGGAAGAAAAGAAACAACAGCCACACAAACAGCAATAATGCAGATAGTCTCTGTGGCTTACAGGCTATGACAGCCTCTTTCATCTCCAAAGTGAGCCTTGTAGGCTATTACTTTTAAAAGGCTCCATCTATTTAACTTGCTTCATTCCTAGTTCCTTAAGTTTTCATTTATTATTGCCTATGATGTATCTTTAAAAGGTTGCTAACTTATTTATTAGTTTATTTTATTAGTTATTTTGCAGTTCTAGGGATTGGATGCAGGGCCTTGCATGTGCTAGGTAAGTGTGCCGCTACATCTCTTCTGCCCTTTCAGCTTATTTTTAATGGCTTTTCCTATTTCTGTGTTGTAAAATCTCTGTTTTTCTAACATTTCCTAAATTATCAGATCAAAACTCTATTCCTTCTTTAGCACACGAGCACACATCCATTGTAGATAATGAATAGAATCATTAAGTATACATTTCCTGTGAGTTATTGCACTCTTCATTTACTCTTATCACTCTCCCTGAATATTTTCCATATGTTGTCTTGGTTTCAGGTTCTGGAAAAACTGCATGATATAGTGTGCATTTCTTCTTTTCTCATAAGAAGTGGAATTTAATTTTCTCTTTTTTCTTTTTTAAGATTTATTAATTTACTATGTATACAGTGTTGTGCCTATATGCCAGAAGAGGGCACCGGATCTCATTATAGATAACTGTGAGTCACCATGTGGTTGCTGGGAATTGAACCCAGGACCTCTGGAAGAGCAGCCAGTGCTCCTAACCTCTGAGCCATCTCTCCAGCCCTGGAATTTAATTTTCTATGGCCATTGCATATGATTTATACCAAAAGATAATAAAAATTAAGTAAGCAAGTAAACACTTTTTAAAAAGTCATTCACACTGAGTGAAACAGAAGCGTGTGTTCATAGTGAATCTGAAGTTGAATGAGAACTAGACATGCTCACCTATTGTTTGTTTTGTGTGTCCTGGTAAAATGGTTTGATACTGGAAACTGGGAGAATATTCTTTATGGTAAAGAAAAGGTAGAAGTAAGTTTCTCATTTCTCCTGCATGCCTGAATGAAGGGAGGGTAGGTAGTCAAGACTAGTTATTCCTCAGTGATCTTAATATTCTTATGAATTCATGGTGATGTAGCTGGTTCTTATACACTACATACCTGAATGTTCCATTTTGACCAACCCCTTATCATAGTGATGACAGAGATTGGGCCATTAGTTAGCTCCATTTCATAGTATTAATTGGATGAAGGAGTTTGTTAATCACATATGGAAGGAAGCTAGTGAGAGATTAAACACATGTGCTGGAGAAATTTTCACACTTAGTATAGTAAGTCAAGAGTGCATTTATTGTTTTCCTTACTTACCAGTTTCATTTTTTTTTTTCTGAGGCAGGGTTTCTCTGTGGCTTTGGAGGCTGTCCTGGAAAAAGCTCTTGTAGACCAGACTGCTCTCGAACTCACAGAGATCCACCTGTCTCTGCCTCCCAAGTGCTGGGATTAAAGGCGTGCACCACCAACGCCTGGCTACCAGTTTCATGTTTATGTCTTGAGCAGTAAAATAGTTATGAACTGAATTGTACTGTAGGAAAGTGGATTGTGAGACAGCATTTAAGATAGGATGGGGAGAAATTGCAGAAAGCAAATCAGAAAAGACAGTCACTATGATACAACAAAGTTGCCACAACCTAAATTGGCAGCCATAGGAGAGAAAATAGCATAAAGTCCCTGGTGTTAGACTGCAAGACAGATATTACATGTGCCGATTTTCTGTTTACAGAGTATTTAAAAATTGTGCGTCTTAATCAATATCTACCATATTCTGCTTTTGTAGCAAGTTATAGAGACTTTCGATTACTGAATTAGATTCTACTAGAATATCTAAGTATCAACATTCAGCAGGACATTGGCAAATCCTAAAGCAGAGTTATTTTGGAGAATATGGTAGAAATGGTGAAAGATGCCCATGGGAGAAACTCAGAAAGAAAAGATAGTTAACAATCAAGATTATATACTTAGAGAGAGAGAGAGAGAGAGAGAGAGAGAGAGAGAGAGAGAGAGAGAGAGAGAGAGAGAGAGAGAGAAGACAAAGTAAGAGAGCTAAGTATTCATCATCTATCATAGCAGAGGGTTACAAAAAAAGGTGGTCTACAGCTTGTGAGAAAATGGTAAGAATTGCATATTTGAAGTCCCATCTGACCTTCAGGAGAGCGTGTAGTTTCACTTTATATATGAAATGAATAAATATTTAGTGGATATGGAGGTAGTACACACAGTACATGGAAACAGTCTTTTAATGTACATGGTGTTTTGCTTGTGGTATGGATGCATGTGTATTACATGTGTGCCTGGTGCCAAAGAGGCCAAATGAAGGCATCAGATCTGGAACTGGGGTTACAGATGGTTGTGAGCTGCCATGTTGCTGGGAACTGAACCCAGATCATCTGGAAGAGCAGCCAGTGCTCTTGGCCAAAGAGTCATCTCTCTAGTCCTGCAAATGGTTTTTTCAACAATATTTCAGGGGAAGAAAGAGAAGAGAAGAAGGGTACAGCTATGTACGTGCATTGTTTTCTTTATAAAGGATAGTGATTTTAGTTAAGAAGGAGCAGCAAAAGATAAAATCAGTGTACTCCCAGGACTGGAAAGATGTCAGGTAACCAGGACAAGAGACAACAATAATTTGAGTTGCTTTGTTGAAATTACAGCCAAAATCTTGGATGGATAAAATGCAAGCAAAATATGAAATGGTCAAAAGCACTAATAACAATAAAGAGGAAATCTAATGGAAGAATAAAAGTATGAAGAGAAGAAATTGTGGTCAGGTTTTTTTTAGATCTGGATATATGCCTAGTATGTCTAGTGTTGATGACTTAGTTTGTCTCAGTAACTAAATAAATTATAATTATTGGAAATATTCAGTGTGTAAAATGAAAGTATTGGTATTTTCACTTACCAAAGATCCTAGCAGGACTTAAGAATAGAAGGAACAATATAAATCAGTTAAAGAAGGAAAAGGTTAGGTTTTGATGGGGCTGGTGTTTCAAGATGACAGAGATGGATTTCTGTAGGGAAAGTAGACTCCTCCTATGTATTCTCACTATTGTTCTCAAGCCTACCTTTGACTTCTTTTTCTTCTGGTGACTACTCTGTCTCTCCTACTGTGAATGGGAAATTTCCCCAGCTGCAGTGTTTCTTAAGCTCCGTATCCACTTGTCAATAACTTAGATCTGATCAGGACCATGTATATAAGTTCCTCCACTCGACTTTTCTCAACAAATGAGAACTCTGCACAAACTTGGTCTGTCTCAGTACCCTCTTGACCTACTCACTCTGTCTAAAACCTAACCTAAGTCTGTGATGAGAATGATGAGAAGAGTAAAAATGTAAGTTGCTTTAGCTAAGGGGCAGTTGGCAAGTCAGGGTGGGAAAGTAAAAACATTCAAAGAACAGCAAAATGCAAGGGAACCTCATTCTATTATTTAAAACTTCTGCCCCAGCTTCTACATTCATGATCTCTCTGTGTCAATTACTTCATCAATAAAAATCAATATAAAAATGCACTCTAACTCAGGGTAACTGTAGGAATTAAATTTGATAGTGTATATAAAGCACAGAATCCACTAAATATTCTTACTGCTAATGCTGTTAATAGTGACAGTGACATGTATAAAAAATATGTAATCTTGAACAAAGTGGCATGTGTTGAGTTACTGTGTGCAGTATAGATAACACTTGTGACTCCTAACACCAAAAAGAATACGTGTACTTCATCTTTGTCACCTCTATGTAGTAGGAATGACCTGCATTCAAGTGATTTGTAAAATGTTGTATCATCACAGAAATAGATATTTAGTACATTTGAGGACAGGAATATACATGGAACCAATGGAAGTTGTTCACAATAAAATAAGTCCACTAGAATGGGCTAGTACAGATTTACACAGAATCAAAATAAATTTGGGAACATAGAATTAGGTTTCCAGAGCTGATGCTAGAAATGCTGAGGATTAGGAATATAATGGATAGGGGGTGACCTAGAAGATTCTTGATGTACCCATGTAGAAACAATATCCACAGGTGATATGCAAATATGGTGACAGGAACCCATACATCCAGACAAGATAAGCACCGAAGCTCATCAGGAAGAGAAACAAATCTAGTTAATCTGGGTTTATTTCAGATAGTTCGTGGATCCTAAGTTGTAGGAAAACATAACTTTGAAAATGAAGAAGCACTTTCTCCTGAGTGCTAAGTAACTTAGCCCATATTCCTGACTCTTGGAATTTTCCCTGAAAGAGTTCCATTTTATTTTTAATAAAGGGTTGGTTGCCTTCATGATAGTAAATTGTTCACTTTAGAGACTTAGTCTCTTGCTTTTCTTCTCTTTCTTGCTGTTTTTGAAAGGTAAATGGCCAAGACCTAAAGAACCTGCTACACCAGGATGCTGTAGACCTCTTTCGTAATGCAGGATATGCTGTGTCGCTGAGAGTGCAACATAGGGTAGGTATCACTTGCAGCCAGATTATGGGACAATAGGCTGTCTCACTGCACTTGCGAATATACTTGTGGATGTAATCTTCAAAGTCTGTTTTATTTTTTTTCTTTTGCTATTACTGCTTTGTAGGGTTTGTCTATCATACTCAGGAGTCCTTTGACGTTTCTGCTTATCAGATGTGTATAATATTATACTTATAACCCAGGCCAAAAATTACCTTCAGTGCAGTTTTTTTTCCTAAGTTTAATCAAGTGAAGATGGAAAGAAAATGGGATCACTTTTACTTTTTGTTAGCCAAAGTGCCATTTGTGTACCTTTGAAAACTTCTATTTATGACTGCAAAGATGGTTATGTTTTCTGTCTTCTGTTATAAGGCTTCTCTTTTCATGACCACATGGCTAAGACCTGAGTGGAACTTGAAAGGTAACTCTTGAGAAAAAAAGAAATGGAATTGAGAATCCTTACATCTGCTGCTGCTTAGTTTTTCTTTATTGTTTTCATTTATTTATTTATTTTTTGAGATAGGGTTTCTCTGTATATCCTTGGCTGTGCTTGAACTCACCCTATAGATCAGGCTGGTCTTGAACTCACAGAGATCCACCTGCTCTGCCTCTCAAGTGTTGTGCCTATAGGCTTGTGCCACCACCGATCTACATCTGCTTCTTATTTCCTGGTGTTTTATAATTTGGATGGTAGGGAGGAGGTCTGAGTTTCTCTCATAGCATCAAGGATTTCTGAGTTCAAGTTCAGTGTGCCTATGAATCTTTCTTAAATTGGTATATTCTTTACTAAAAGGACAAGTGAGGATTCAGAGGATAAAAAAGATTAAAAGGAGCTAGTAAAAAAAATTTGGAGAGAGCAGAAGCTAACTTGAATTACATGGTGAGACTCTGTGTTAAAGAAGAAAAAAAAATAACTAAAAGAGAAAGGCAAAACATAAAGCTATCCAAGAAAGTAACCAGAGTTGCAAACAGAACGTGAGTGTAATAGACTCAAAAGCAGGTTGATAAGAGACAGTATTGGTCTGCTTTTGCCACAGGTTTTCTTTGTTTCTAAAGCATGGGGGAATTTATGTAGGAATATAAATGATAGGCATATATTTCAGATATGATAAGGGTTCCCTTTGAAGGCATCTGGGAATTTATTTTCAGTGTTCACTTAAGGAAACATCCATAAATAACTTACAATGCAACAAGCTCTATTGGTTAAAAATTCACCTAACCCTGAAAACCATGTTTTTAAGTGAGCATATCTTCTCAAGAAGATGTAAGTAGTAGAATAAGTGTAGAAGATAGTTTTGCTGTCTTGCTTTACAGTTGAAGGTGTAAGGATTTCATGGGCTATACGTAGTTATAAGTCTAAGTGAAATACAATGATATTGTAGTTATTTCAAGTAACTATAAAAAATTGATATTAATAATGGCTATCCCTTGGGGGAGGGTCTAGGCCCTGCCCTGGATGAAATGACAGACTCTGGAGATCCTCCATGGAGGGCCTCATCCTCCCTGGGAATCGGAGTGGAGATTGGGTGGGGCGCTGAGGGATCTGGTGGAGGGAGCTGGGGAGGAGAGGAGGGAGAGGGAGCTGGGATTGACATGTGAAGCAAGGAAGAAAAAAAAATAATGGCTATTCCTGTAAAACAGAACTGAAATGAAGAAAGACAATCTAGCTATTAAAGGAAATTCTTGGGGGGAATAGAAACTGATAACGATTTGGACATAGTTTATCTCTTGAGTCCCTAATGTCTACTCCACATAGATTTTACCTTTATCTGTGACTAATATTGCAAACTTAGACATGAAACACAAGACCCCATTTTAGGAGCAAGAGGGTAACTTGGAAACTGTAAAAAGCATTTCCAAGTAATGACACTGCAACTGTGCTGATACTGCCTGATCTGCTCTTACTCTATTCCAATTACTACTAGTTTTTATAAGTAAATATTTTCAGAAAGACCTCTTCCTTCCTCTCCCTTTTCCTGCTCATCAATATCCAGACTTCCTGAAGGATCGTAGGTTTCATCTCATCCTTACATTCTCCTGATAGGAAGCATATATAGCAAGATAGAGGCATTATAAAGACAGAAAGGATCTACTTTACCCTTTGAGGTCCCATAAGTCAGTACCAAGCAAGGTTAAATGCTTCCCTATCAGAACTGTTTTCTTCCCAGAGTATCCATGAAAATAATGAATCAACTAGAACAAGAGCTCTTTCTGCTAGGTTGTGTGGGGTAGCTTTGGGTGGTGTAGAACTTATGCCTCCAGGTAATTGTCAACTTGGATCTTTTAGTTTTGGCATATGCAATAGTCAGAGTTAATATTTTTCCTTCTCTTTCAGTTACCAGTGCAGAATGGACCTATAGTACATCGAGGTGAAGGAGAACCAAGTGGTATTCCTGTATCTATGGTGCTGCTACCAGTGTTTGCCCTCACCATGGTCGCAGTTTGGGCCTTCATGAGATACCGAAAACAGCTTTGAAATGCTTGCTGTCTTCCAGTGTGTCCCATGAACTATTTCTCTCACTCACCTTCCTGCCATTCTCCCATGTCCTTTTTTCTCTACATAGCCAACACATGATTTAAACTGACTGATTATACTCAAAACCTTGCTGTTCAAACTTGCCAACTCTTCTGATTCTAATGGGAGAGGAAAGGTATTATTTGAAGAAAAGTTGGGGCGGGGAGGGGGAAGCCTTGCTATGAACAAATGAGAAGTTACATATTTTACTAGGACTGCCAATAAAAATTCAGCTGTCACCCAAAGAGGAAACACTCAGTCTTCCTGTCAGCATGGATGATACCTTTTTCTTAGCTGGCATGCTTTGAAGGCTAGCTGTGCTACGTGGAAGGAGGAACTGATTTTTCTTTTTCTTTTAATGCTTTTCCTTGTGAAGTGTTTGTGGCCTTTAATTTGTAACTATACCTAGATGCCTATGTTGGACACAGGTAAATGAAGGTTTTTGTTTTTTGTTTTTTTACTTCAAAAAGAAAATACATATATACAGTAATATACATGCATATATGATAACATAACATTGATGCCTTATAAGAGGTGAGAAAACCGTACTGGTTCCTGGGTTTCTAATGAATAATTTTTGTGAGCGACTAGGGGATCATCATATTCCTTCATATATAATCAAGACTCATATTGAGCAATGAGTTCTGGATTGTAAAGAGACCTTACTTTTACACTTGTCTGTAAGTCCTTGTCCACCAATTTAAAAAGCATACTCAGTGCTAAGGGATGATTGTAACTGAAAAACTTCAAGAGTTTTTTTGCAGAGCATGGATAATGGGGATGGGAAAATTTCAAAGAGAGTACTCAATCAGTGTTATTAGGAAAATAGTAACTGAAGCAATTAGTTGAAAACTGTAGAACAAATGTCACACAGTAGCTATGGTGAAGTGGTAAATTGTAATAAAACAGCTCTGCTCAAGTCAATCTGTTCAGAAGACTTTGAGGTATAAAGATAAGTGCTACCAATCTCTGAACTACTGTAGTTGGTATTTTACAGTGTTGTTAACTGGGCAGCAGTGGGGCCAAATGAACCAGAAGGGCCAAAAGTTGTCTTTCCAGTTGACAACTGAAAAAAAGGTCATGCCTCAAGTTGGCACTTGAACCCTCAAGGCTACTTAACAGTTTTCAGCTTCTAGTATCAGGCAACACCTTAGGGAAGGAGCTGCCTTCCTGGTAGGATAGACCTAAAATCAGCCTGCTTCTGATTGAGTTAGGATAAGAAGACCTGATGAATTGATGTGGTTTTTGGTTTTGCTCCCCCCCCTTCCAGCTCTAAACACTAGTTTTAATTTTAATAAGTTAATGGACCATTTTTCAGAGAAGGGGAAGGAATACATTTTGTTTGTTTGGTAGAGGGGACAGGGAACGTTTGGTGAGTGTTTCTGAGGAAAGCCTGAGAACAGAATGTGGGTGAATAGATGCCAGAGAACAGCAGGGACAGCGGGAGCCATCCTGTTCATGTAGTGTCTGAGTTGGTTTTAGATTGCTGAGGATAGTTGAAGCAAGCCAGGTTTTTTAACAAAATAATTTCCATCTTCCAAATATATTGGCCAGACTATTATTTTGACACAAGATTATGAGTTTTCCTGACAATCTAGCAATTACTTAACAAGTATTGGTGTGTATTAGTTTTGTCAAGATAACCTGTACAAAGAAGAGAAATGTGCAGACTTCATCTGAAAAGACATTGTGGTTACAGTTAGGAAGAGCACAGTTAAAATGGAATTGGCCACATAAGTGTAAGTTGTTGTTTATATTGTAGACAACAAAAGAAAATAGCTCCTGAGAATTGGAACATTCCATAGAGGAAGGGACAGGTTAAGGATCTCTAGGTGCTATCCATCTAGTAAGAGCATTCATAAATAGGTGAAAATTAAGAGTATCAGGTTGGATAATAGATGAAACCAGTAGGTACAGAAATGTTGCCATGCAAAATAGAGCATAGTGTAGCAACAAGATGTTCAAGAGCTGTTTCAAGGAATTCAAAAAAGGAAAACTGTGTGTTGGGGCATCAGAGTAGAATGGAAAGGAAATTCTTAAAGTCTGATCAAACTTTGCATCTGGGTAAACTTGATACAGGGAGAGATTTGCTTTAAACAGTCTTTACATAACTAAGCCTTTCATTACTTTATGAAATTTACTTAGTCACAGGAGTTATTGTAAGTCCACAGAAAATACAAAAATATATTGTAGTTCTTGTCACAGCCAGTACCACTCTGGAGGCCCAGTGTCAGGTCCTCTCCTTGTATGCAATGGCATGTATAACAGCTTCTGCCATGGACCTACTTACCTCTAGTATTCACCTCACGGTTTTAAATTTATTGTTGAAAGATTGTCACACATACGAAATGAAACAAATGGCAAGAAGGATAGAAAACTGTTGTGTGTTGACATATGTAAATAAAAAACATCATTGGTGGGAGTTTTACTTTGGTTGGTAGGGATTCTGATACACTTGGGTCTCCTTGGGAAATAAACAACACTTAATCAAAACATTTAAGATTTAGGCAAACACTTTAGTATTTCACTTTTTGTTGTATGAAAACTAAAATTAGCATAGATGGGATGTTAAGAATCCACTATAGAGCGTGAAAAATTTATGTTCATCATAGACTGACTCTAATGTACCTACCACCTTATAGACTATATATGATGCTCCTGCCACATAAATTATAATGTTTAAAGTTTTGAAAATTGATTATAGGTATACTTATAGTATTTCTTGTATTTATCATTGTGTTTTATATGTAATTCTAATAGATATTGTTTGCTTCAGTTGTTTCTGTTTCCTTTTCCTGAAGTTTTCTGTGTGAGTGATTTCATGTAATGAATTGAACCATCTAGCCACAGGCAACATGTGAAAATAGTATTTGTAATTGTAGTCTTTGTCAGGGACTGTACTAAATTGATTGGTGACACTATGTTTTACTTTGAGATCTGAGTATTGCTATAAAGAGACTGAGAATGAGAAAATAAATTATTTTCCTAAGGTGATATAGGTCGTAATAAAATCACAGTTTAAACTTGGGACATTGGGTGACAGTATCAGTAAGTATTCCTAATGCTAACAGTTCTCAAAACAAGCTCTCTGGACAAAAGCATCAGTATTCCCTGCAAATTCTTGGGTGTCATCCCATACTTATGGAGTGAGATGAATATGGCCACCAGCAACTGTGTCTTTTTAGACAACTGACTAAGGTTGAATCTTGAGATTCACCACTGTCAGGAGCTGTTCTCTGGTTAGAATCACTTGGTCAGCCCACATTAAATAAGGACTTCTGGGACTAGGACTTGGGCAACAGTAAAATATGTTTCATTAGGTGGTTAAAATGTGCAGCCTCTATTGGATATGTTCCATGGCATTTAAAGTATCAGATCATCTGCAGATGAGGCTCTATCCAGAATCAAGAACTTGACTAAGTTTAGAGCCCAGCTCTCTGATACTACAGTAAGAAGTGGAACATTGTTTTACTCCTGTATGCTCAGGACAGACTGATCAACCTCAGGTACATATGTGCAGCCAATAAGAACCAATCATAGGATAGTGACTCTTGACTCTTGGATAAATTTGTAATAGAAGTGAGAGAAGTTACGTGTGTGTGTGTGTGTGTCAAACTTGTTTGGGTGTGTCCACTACAAGGATACATACAAAAACTATATTTAAAAACTCATGTTATTTCTGTCTTTTCTCATTGGGCTTTCAATAAAGACCATTGTAGGCATCAAGATTGGAATGGGAGAGTATATTGAACAATCTGAGAAACCCAATCACATGTTGTTTTAATTTCAGTAGTTTAAAATTAGATATAGGCTGTTTGTGGTATTTTTGTTTTTATTGTGCAAATAGTAATTAAAATATATTTTGAGGCCAAGCATAGTGGTAATTCTTTAATCCCAGTATTTAGGAGGCAGAGGCAGACCAGTCAGATCCCTGTGAGTTGGAAGTCAGCCGTGTGTGTGTGTGTAAAATAAAGATTTTATTCTACCCATTTTTAGTGGAAAATATCTTTAAGATTTTTTTCTTCATTCAGCAGATTACTATCAACACCAGTACAGAAGTACAAAGAAAATATTTAGTCACTTGTGGGAACCCGCCTGGGTCCTGTTGTTGCCTCAGCCCCCAAATAACACACAAGACACTATATTAATTATGAAGCTGTTGGCTGTTTGCTTGGTTTCTTATCAGCTAGCTCTGACTTAATTATTGACCCATAATTACTAATATATATTTTATAAGGACTTATCTTTATCCTTATCCTTTATCCTTATCAGGACACTCCTGATGTGTCCATTCCTCCCGGGAGATCACATGGCAACGACCCTCTTCACTACATTTCCCAGAATCCTCCTAGACTCCTAGTCCCCCCATCTTGCTTCCCTATTGCCAACAGTGCTTCATTTACATATACACAAGGACCTCTCCCATCAGTCACTAAACTGAAGTAGCCCAGAATCTGAGTAGGTAGTCTTGATGTTAATATAGCTTTGTAATATCACTGAGAAGTACACATTTTGCATTCTTAAGCTTTCTACCTCGCACAATAGTTTAAGGGTTGACTGTCATCCCAGGCTAAGACTTTTTTGCTGTTCCTTTTAACTGCAAATCTTTTTTTAAGAATAGCTGTTACAGCCTGCCGTGCAGTTATGATTAAGGGGTGGGGGTACAGTATTTTAAAGAATTGTACCCAATGGGAGCCAGATTGTGAACTGCCATTAACGCGTATGTTGATGTCAATAGATACATAGCACATGACTGTTTACCTGATGCTCTTGATATAAAAATTGACAGAAGAAAGCAATATTGGTATAAGGAATCTAGCTCTAGTAAACACTAATGCCTGTGGCTATACAGTACCTCACTGTTATGTTCCGTTTTAACAGGAGAGAGGAAAGGGAAGAGGACTAATGTAAGTTTTCAAATGCAATATCGTTATTAATCAGCAGATTGGTTTACAAAACAACTGTGTAAATATATTGACTAGCCACAGGAAAATGGGATGATCCTTTTCATAGTTGGTAGATTTACAAGTGAAGACACAGATTAAATTCTGTTTTTGTTTTACTTCTGTGTCTCCAATGCTAATTTGAATGAATTTGTTATTACTGGATACTTATACACCTTCCAGGCCATTCAGTTCTTGGAAAACTATTTTCCTTAAATGCCTTATGTTTCCTTTCTGCTATGGTTGTTATGTCCCCGTCCCCCGACCCCGCATCCCTGAATGTAAACAGCAGCTGTTTCACAGGTTAGATGGCTGAGAGCTACTTGGAAAACAAGCAGACATAAAAATCACAATAAGTAAGAAGTATCACTACAAATCCAGGGTTGATGCTGATTTCAGTCTCTCTGTTTGGTACCAGTACATCCAGATTTGCCTTTTGAACTATGATATTCAATAAAGACCTGTTGAACTTATTTGAATATCTGTGGTCTTGGATTTTTTTTTCTTTTGGAGACTATTAAATAACTATTTCCTTATTTTTCTGTCACTTTAAACCAGCATCTCTGATGGGACATTGGGAAGAGGAAAAGGCTTTCTTTTGACAGAACAGGCAAGCACTAGGACCTGATAAATAGAGGTGCTTAGCAATTACTGAGTGCTCATCAGTGTTGTAGGTATTATCTGAAGCCCTTAACATTTCACTAAGGCTTATTACAAGAGTAACTGTTATGTCCAATTTATGATGAGATGAGCAAGGCATAAAGAGGTTAAGAAATTTGCCCAGGTCACACAGAGTAAGTGTCAGCTAGAATTTAAAGCCAGGCAATCTGGCCTCAAAACACTATATGGCTCTACTTTCCAGGTGCTAGATGCTATATTTTGCTGCCCTTTCTCAATATCAGTTTCTCAAAACTACAGGGAAGTACAAATAGTCCCATCTTTATAGAGAAAATAACTTGGTATTTAAAGAAGATAACTTGCTCCAGAAGTGCAGCTGTTTAGTTACCAAATTTGGCAGTTTACTTCAAACCAGTGAGGACTCCTGTAGTCTTGAAGTACTTCAGAAAATGAAAGCTTATATTAATTTGATCCGGTCACACTGTTAACATTTTTAAATTATGGGCCATAATACAAACTTGAGTGTATTAAGGTAATGCTTTATAGGTAAAGTAGCAGCACCATTCTGTCTTTATATTCAGTGTTTGGGAGCAATTGCCAATATTTACTCACCCTCTTCTATTACCCAAACCTAAGATGGGAGGCAGAAACAAATTTTTATCATAGTTAAAGAAGGATTTACTGGATGTGAAAATTAAGCTTTATTCTGTGAGTTTGTACAGGGCAAAGCTTGATTTTTTTTATAAAGGTAGTTTGTCATAGAGTTTAAACATAGTTCACAACAAATCATTTGGTGATCTGTAATGTATATAGAATGACTGTTGTGATTGACAAGGTATGTCAGTTGTCCGTTAGTTACTTACTGAACCATTGCAAAAACAGTAGGTGACTTACTGCAATGTATAGTAATTCTTTGAAAGTGAAATTTCTGTCTAGTGATTATTTCTTCTGCTAGTAACATAAGCTGTAGTCACCACTGGCTGAACATGACTGCACCTAGGTGGGCAGTACAGTACACAGATGGCAGTACAGTACATAGGTGGGCAGTGCAGTACACAAATGGCAGTGCAGTACACGGATGGCAGTGCAGTACACGGATGACAGTACAGTACACAGATGACAGTACAGTACACGAATGAGAGTACAGTACATAGGTGGGCAGTGCAGTACACAAATGGCAGTGCAGTACACGGATGGCAGTGCAGTACACGGATGGCAGTACAGTACACGAATGAGAGTACAGTACATAGGTGGGCAGTGCAGTACACAGATGGCAGTGCAGTACACTGATGGCAGTGCAGTACACGGATGGCAGTACAGTACACGGATGGCAGTACAGTACACGAATGAGAGTACAGTACATAGGTGGGCAGTGCAGTACACAGATGGCAGTGCAGTACACGGATGGCAGTGCAGTACACGGATGGCAGTACAGTACACGAATGAGAGTACAGTACATAGGTGGGCAGTGCAGTACACAGATGGCAGTGCAGTACACGGATGGCAGTGCAGTACACGGATGGCAGTGCAGTACACGGATGGCAGTGCAGTACACGGATGGCAGTACAGTACACGGATGGCAGTACAGTACACAAATGAGAGTACAGTACATAGGTGGGCAGTGCAGTACACAGATGGCAGTGCAGTACACGGATGGCAGTGCAGTACACGGATGGCAGTACAGTACACGAATGAGAGTACAGTACATAGGTGGGCAGTGCAGTACACAGATGGCAGTACAGTACACGGATGGCAGTGCAGTACACGAATGGCAGTACAGTACACGGATGGCAGTACAGTACACGGATGGCAGTGCAGTACACGGATGGCAGTACAGTACACGATGGCAGTGCAGTACACGGATGGCAGCACAGTACATGGATGGCCATGCAGTACACGGATGGCAGTAAAGTACACAAATGACAGTATAGTACATAGGTTGGCAGTGCAGTACACGGATGACAGTACAGTACATAGCAGTACAGCACACAGATGACAGTACAGTACACGGATGGCAGTGCAGTACACAGATGGCAGTACAGTACACAGATGGCAGTGCAGTACATGGATGGCAACACAGTACACAGATGGCAATACAGTACATGGATGACAATACAGTACATGGATGGCAGTACAGTACACGAATGACAGTATAGTACATAGGTGGGCAGTGCAGTACACAGATGGCAGGGCAGTACACGGATGGCAGTGCAGTACACGGATGGCAGTGCAGTACACGGATGTCAGTGCAGTACACGGATGTCAGTACAGTACACGGATGGCAGTGCAGTACACGGATGGCAGTGCAGTACATGGATGACAGTACAGTACACGGATGGTAGTACAGTACACGGATGGCAGTACAGTACATGGATGGCAGCGCAGTACACAGATGGCAGTACAGTACACGGATGGCAGTACAGTACATAGATGGCAGTGCAGTACATGGATGGCAGTACAGTACACAGATGACAGTACAGTACACGGATGGCAGTGCAGTACATAGATGGCAGTACAGTACACAGATGGCAGTACAGTACATAAGTGGGCAGTCCCAGGTGGCTCTTATATGCCTGGCAGTGCTGATTGCTGACTGGAGTGCCTTGGTTTTTCTCCATGTGGCCTTTCATGTTCCAGTAGAGTAGATTAGGCTTTTACACAACATTCGGAGTAGGGGGTCTTTAGGAGAACATTTCAAGAAAGGCAAATTTCAATGCAAAAGTATTTACCAAACCGTCCCTTTTGTCACACTTGTTAGCATCTTTTTAAAAATGTTTGCTGCTATTACCATTTTTACTATTTATCTTTATATCATCAGATGTTTCCAGATTTCCTGGTATTTAACAAACATTTGGTCACATCAAATTAGTGAAAAAAAAAATGTTTGCCTCTCCAAATCCTGTTTCCCTGCCAAAGTCTGCTACTGGTTCAGCATGAGAATTTAAATACAGCACCACCTAGATTTTGTCCTACAACAAGGCCTCCGCAGTGTGTCAGACAGACTTGGCTTAAAAAGGACTCAAGAGGAGTGAGGTGCATATCAGCAAAGAGAGAATCCATTAGACACTATCATCAGATGATTTAGCTTCAATATTCTGTGTTGTGGGGGATATTCTTTCATACCCACTGTCTCAGGCAGCAGGCTGTCCCTCCAATTTTTGTTGAAGCTGAGGATAGTGGTCATCACATTACTCAACTGGAAGCCCAAGACCTCGAAGTTTTCACATACTCATTTGGTTTCACAGACCATCACCACATTCCTCTGGATATGGAACCAAATCAGAACCTGGACTGTTTTCTTGTGCTTTGCAGTAACCGATTTCATTACTCTTGGGATCCTCCAGTAGTGAAGGCTCCTCTGGCTGGACCCAAGGTCTATCAAGAGAGCCCAGGGGGCTGTAGGCCATGATGATGATGTCCCTGGAGTGACGGTATTGGATCAGTTTGTCCTAGGTGAGTTATGGATGACACTCAACCTAGTTGATCACTGATTTATTTTTCAGTCCAGGCTTGTTCTAGAGCCTCTATCTATCTATCTATCTATCTATCTATCTATCTATCTATCTATCTATCTATCATATATAAATATATATGTTTTTCAAGACAAGGTTTCTCTGTGTAGCATTGGAGCCTGCCCTAGCACTTGCTTTGTAAATCAGGGTGACCTCGAGTAGATGCACCTACCTCTGTCTTCCAAGTGCTGGGATTAAAGGTATGAGCTACCACCGCCTGGCATTCCAGAGCCTTTTAATCTGGAAGTGCTTGAAGTTGGAGGTGCCCAGGGCTTCCATTAACTATCAATTGCCTACCAGTTCTTCCCTGATATCACAGGCATCCAAGAATATTATTTTACTGGTGAGAGCATTGCTTTTATCTCCTTTGATGAATAGCCCCTTTTCGGGCTGAAGTCCTTGTGGATGGTGAATAAGACAGTCCAGTTTCAGATGCATGAGAGTCTTATGAAAGACTGCTTCATCAGTTGTATCTGAAAGCAGGTGGTCCACAAATTGCTGACAATAAATAGCCTCCCCGGCTTCACAACTTTCTCTGCCATCTTCTATTGGATGGCTTCTCCCATTTCACTCTGATAATATGCATATGTACAGTCACTATGGCAATATCCAGCATCAGTGGCCACCTTCACAGCTTCTTTGACTTGGCTTGGGGGAAGACTTCCAGGTAACCAGGCCCACAATGGGCATCTTGGTATGGGTACTGAGCTACACAAAAGGTAGCCATGACTGCTGCAGATGGCTGTCCATTTGTCAGTGTCTTCATAGCTGAAACAAGTCAGTGAAGCCCAGATCTACTGTGGAAAGAGACCTCACCTCTGCTATCTGATAGAATTAGTGCAAAGATGTGGGTGTGTTTTTTAAATTTGCCACAGAAAGAAAGCCTGTGAACAGAAGAGATTACAAATCAGCAAACGTTTCCTCAAAAAGCCACCCAGTAAAGGACTGGGGCTGGAGAGATGGTAGCGGCACCTCCTGCCAGGCCTGAGGACCTGAGTGGTTCCTGGAACCCACATGAAGGAAGACGTCTGGCTCCCTCAAGGTTTCCCCTGACCACCACTCCAGCAGCAGGGCATCTACACCCAACAGACACATAAACTTTAAAAAGTTTTAGGCTTACAACTCCTATTTTTATCTGTGAAAGCAACAATGAATATTAAACAAAAAGGCATGACTATATTCCAATAAAGTTTTATAGTCACAGATTAGCAATAGTGACACACTCAGTGTACTGTCAACCTTGTTACTGTCAGACATCATAACTGTACTTAGGCAAACCTAGAAGGTAGAGCCTTTTCTCGGGTTTCAAATTCATAGAACATGTAACTTGGCCTTTTTTATATCAAAACAGAAAAGACACAGTAAAAATATGAGGCTACAGGAATTTTTAACTGTTACAGTTTTCAAGAACTTCCCCATCTTATATGCAGTCCATAAGTAGCTAAAATACAGTATGTTTCATTACTAGTTACCAAAAGAAACAAAAACCCGAAAACTGTCCTTGTTAGGCTCTTGTTCACATTACTAAAAATTGTCAGTTAGATTTGTATAAAATAATAAAAATGGAAGAATTGTCCCAAATGTTGATCCCTTTGAGTCCTAAACCAAAAAGCATGACACATTTAAAGAATGTTTCTTAAAAAATATCTGGATGGGGAGGAGGCTCAATAGGTAATGTGTTTGCTATGCAAGCAAAAGGGCTTGAGTTTGGTTATCAATTAACCATATAAAAGTTAATGTGGTTAATGGGCATGATGATACTAATCTGTAACACCAGCAGTTGGATGAGGTGACAGGATCCTTAGGATTGGTTGGCTTCCTGGCCAGCCAGTCTGGCCAAAATGGAAAACTCCAGGTTCAAAGAGAGACTGCCACAAAAAATAAGGTGGAGCGAGAGGAAGACACCAAACCCCTACCCAGCACATAACATGGAGAGGGAGCACAACAACCTCCAAGAAAGGAGCCAGCAAGCAAAAGGTTCCCCTTGTTCTGTTTTTGAAAGTGAGCAGTGGTTATTGATAGAATTGAATGCAAGCATCCATCATGGCCAGAATCTCACCCTTAAGGTTCAAACGTTCGCATGAAAATACTAAATTTATTGGACATTTACTTTATAGAAGTGTTCTCGTTTATTTAAAGTAAGTGTATCAGGGCTGAAGAGATGGCTCAGAAGTTGAGAGCATATACTGCTCTTGCAGAGGACCAAAGTTTAAATCCCAGCTCTCAGTTTGCATACCTCATAACCATCCTTAACTCCTTAACATCCTCCAAGGGCATCTGCATTCATATGCACATATACACACAGATAGGTACACACACAAATGCATAATTATAAATAAGCCTGTTGTTTTCACTATTTAAAAGATGGAAAAGTAGGATTGGTTTTAGAGGTATGAAGTTACTGTCTACAGTTAATATGCAAATTTAAAGGAGTCAAAATATGAAGTTTGGACCTCAACTGTTTGAACCAGTGTCCCATGAAGAGCCATGAAGTTTGGTTGTGTATGCACAGACCACTGGTTACCTCACTTAAAAATCAACCTAGATGCCCCTCAACTGAAGAATGGATAAAAAAAAAAATGTGGTGCATTTACACAACGAAGTACTACTCAGTGGGGGGGGGCAACCAATGAAATCTTGAAATTCACAGGCAAATGGATGGAACTAGAAGAAACCATCCTGAACAAGCTGAGTCACAGAATGATAAACATGGTATGTACTCACTCATATGTGGATATTAGACATAGAGCAAAGGATTACCAGCCTACAATACACACCTCCAGAGAAGCTAGGAAATAAGGAGGACCCTAAGGGAGACATACATGATCCCCCGGAGAAGGGGAAAGGGACAAGATCTCCTGAGCTAATTGGGAGCATGGGGGTGGGAAGGAAGGCAGAAGAAAGAAAAGGGAAGAAGAGGAAGGGGGAAGAACATGAGGGAGCAGGAATATTGAGTCGGGGGAAGAATATAGGGAGAGCAAGAAAAGAAATACCTTAATGTGATGTCTTGCCCCCAATATTGAATTCAAACTCTAAATATTGTTGCCATTCTTCTGTTTTCTTGTCTGTATGCCAGGAAGAGTGGTAATGCTTTTATGCACTAACACAATACACAGTGTTGCAAGCTGTATGTCAAAGGCTACTTGGAGCTCTGGGGAGGAAATAATTTATGTTGCTTGTAGAGTACAGTGTACTTCAAATACTGTGTCCCAAGAGGTGCATATTGAAGGTGTGTAAATTCATGGCATATTCAAAAAGGAATATTATGTCTTCCACGATGGAGTATGGAATGAACAGCAGCAAAATAACAAAAAAACCCATCAGCAGACTGAAGTCTTCTAACAAAGGATTTTAAAGCTTGTTTAAAAAAAAAATTGTAGTGAACCATGGAGACAGACAAGAGAGTCTTATCATTATGTACGAACCTGCCTTCCAGTGCTGTGGAAGATTAATTTATCACCGGCCCCCTCCCTTACCGTTTCTTTCTCCCTGATATAGTCCTTACTCTAAAGAGGTAAGGAGCTTCTCCCGTGGGGACAACTTGGGAAGCAACACCAGAAGCATTTCAGTGGCATTAGAGAGGCAGAGGCAGATGGAAAGCTCTCCCCCACCAGCCTGAAAAAATGGCATAGTAGGTGTTTTGTTTCCCCAAGCTACTGTACTTTCGACTTTTGTTGGTGCCCCCAATAGATGGCCCATTTCTTCTTTTTCGTCTCTATGTTCCTTAAGCCATCCAGAAGCACACAAGCAGGTCGTAAAATGGAAAACAGGAAATCGTTAACTGCAGTCTATCGCACATTAAAAGTATTAACATTAAAGTTTCGGCTATAACTGATGAGCCACTATTTAAAAAGTCTTCATTAACTTGATGAATTACTCACGCTACTTGTGCATTAGCTTCAGAATAACACCCCGCCCTCCAGCCTGAGTTTATTTATCAAGCCAGAGCACACTAGCCAAGATTCAGAATATGCGAATTACAAGTTTTCCAAATCGAAAATCCAATCGTCCCTGGAGCCCGGAACCAAAGCTCAGCGGTTTCGACTTCCGGGGAGAGGGGGAGCGGGTTTGTAAAGGGACAAACCGGCTACTTTGGACTTGCGGAGGTCTACCCGCCGAGGACTCGGCACCCAAATCCAGTGCTGAGTGTACAACTTCGCTTGAGAGGAGGCCGAGGCCGCTGGGCTCTAGGTGGCCGCACTGGGGCCGCTCCGAAGGGGCTAAACCGGCCGCAGCTTCAACTATGGTTGCGCCCGCCGTATTGCGCGCTCTGCGCAAGAACAAGACCTTTCGCTACGGAGTCCCTATGTTGGTGAGTGGCGGCGAGGCCTCCGGAAGGGGCGGGGCCAGCTTCGCTGACTGACGTCTGTGTGCTGTGCGGACCGAAAGGGACTGCTAGAGATATTTCCTAGTCCACACTCAGAAATGTACCTCGGGCTTCCCCGTCTCCTTTTTCTTCTTGAATGTGCATACTGTCACTATCCCCATTTTACAGTAGTAAGCTTTCATGGGGCTAAAGATTGAGGTTGGACCTCCAATAATTACGTTCATTTGTTGTTTTATTGTTGACAGGTTAATTGCTTTAGCACCTGCTGATACCATATTAAAGAAAAATAAATAAAAGCTTTTAAAATAATTTTATTACTTTGGTGTGGCAATTGACATGGATGAGGTTCCCAGCCTTTGTGTTTAATAGTACTAAAAGAAAGGCTGACTCAGAAATGTACTAGGTTTTTTAGTTGCCTTTGATGTGTTTGGATTTTGTTTCCACCTTTAGGAAACTCTGCTTTAAGAGTTTTAGGATAAAAAAAAATTAGGATAAGCATTAGTTTTTATAAAACAATTCGTGTAGACAAAGCATGCATAAAATCTGTTTTCTGCAAGTTCCTCTGCCATTGAGAAAAATTGATTTTAGCCACTGACTTGCAAGCGCCTGTCTATCACTATGGTAACCAATCTGATTTTCTTCCCTTTCAAAATCATAAAAATTAAGAACTTAGTGAATGACAAAAACAAAACAAAAAAACCAAACCAAAAAACCAAACTAAGAACCACTCCCCCCCCCAAAAAACCCTAAGAGTGAGGTCTTCTGTGTATACTTAGTTTCCTGCTCTATTTTCAGAGCTCATCAGCAAGAAGACTCCTTCACAGTCAGTTTTTAAAAGGTCAGATCAGGTGTTAATGAAGACACACCCTGGATCTATTTAGATAAAACTTTTAAACCTAATTTGCTTCCCAGTCAGATGCCCTTCCCCTAGCAAAACAAGAGCACTTTTTGCCCACCCAATCTGAAGAAAACTCCTTTGATATTTGAGGCTTTCTTTTTCTGTTTTATCACATCATACCCAGGTGTGCTCTGGCAAATTAAGGAAGCCTCCAGCCATATACCATAAGCAACTTCTGCAGATGAAATATTCTTTATGATCTTTTATCTCATAGACACTTAACCAGTCATTCCTTTCTGTTTGTTACACACACACACACACACACTTCTAGCATGTCTATGTGAAATAGCATTCTTTTTATTTAAAAATTATATATATGTATTTTGAGAATTTCATAGATGAGTATTGTATTTACATCATTTCCACCCCTCTTTCCCCCTCCAATTTCTCCTGTGATCCTCTTCTCCATCAAATTCATGACTTCTTCCCAGGCATTAGCCTGGGAAGCCAGCATGGGACTGATCAAGACCCCCTGAATCTGGGTGTCAGTGAAGAGGCCTAGGGAATCTATTGAGCCTTGGGCAGCAGATCAGTACCCATCCCAAGTATACACACGGACTTTGGACTCCCATAGAACAATGTGAAGTGCACTCTCACCCTGAACTCTTGGGAAAGGGTCTAGGCCCTGCCCTATATGAAATGACACACTATGGACACCCCCATGGAGGGCCTCACCCTCCCTGGAGAAATGAGGGGATAATGGGGGCGGGGGGAGGGCACGGGGGAAGGGAGGGAATGGGAGAGGGACCTGGAACTGACTTGTGAAGCAACCTTGATTCTTATCTAAATTTAAACTGGAAAATAAAATTTAAAAAAAATATAAAAAAAAGAAAAAAATTCATGACTTCTTTTATTATTGTTGTTGCATGTTATATGTATGTATAAGATAATTACATCTTATATGTATGTATAAAGACAGTCTGATGAGTTTTTAGTATTGGTCTCATGTAATCCAAAATAGCATTCTTTTTTAAAAGTAGCTAAGAAATATTTTATATGCATGATAGATAAATATAAACTTTTTATTGCGGCTGCTATTTATCTAAAAACCATGGGGGTTAAGATAAAGAGCCCTAAAACCCGACAAGTGGCTCTAGATTGCAAGAGAGGAGACAGCAGGAGAGGACATTCTTAGAGAGAAGACAGCATCGAGTTAAGACTGTTCCTCTGACTGAGCCCTACTCTAGTGACCACAGAGGCTTAAATCTAACTCTGTTTTTGGATCTTTTGTTTTGCTTTGCTTTTCACTCCCTCTCCCCCATGTTTGAACACATATCACGATGTTCTCCCTATTTGTTGTCTTTTGAGTCATATAGGGTTGTCTTATTTTTTCTTTTTTTGTGAGAAGTTTTGAAGTTACAACTGTGAATTTTGTTGCTTTTATAAACCTCAAATTTTAAATTTAGGTCTCATGTTTTTGCATTTAATTATTTAGTCAGTGATATAGGAATCAAGCTTTTTTCCCCTAATGGCTAAGCTTTTGCTTCTCTGACCTGAGAATTACAGCCAGTTCAGTTTCTGGTAAAATAGCAGTGGCAGTTGGAAGTCTCTCTTAAGGGTTTCTGCATTCTGAGAGATGTGGCATATCCTGCAAGGCTCCCTTATCATTTAATAAGAAAATAAAGGGCAATGTTTCCCAAATGTTTAACTTTGCAAAATCATAAAATTGAAAGAAATTATCCACAGATGAGGCCAGTAAACAAATCTTACTGATTTTGCGTGAGCACAGAAGGCTCATGAGTCGAGCTGCACTCAGAACCTGAAGAGGTGCAGAGGTTCAGAGAATTCTGTCCTGCATTGACAGTGAATATTTATAGGCAATGAAGCTACAAAAATAACTTAATTGGCTAGACTTAGACAGTTGCAGTTTTTTGACTTTGTCTAATCAGTTAGCTGACCAATCAAGTTTTCTGTTTGTTTACCTTCTAAGGTTACATAAAAACTCTAATGGATTTTAAGTACAGAGACAGCTTCACTCCAAACTTAATACTTAACAGTAGCCTATCATTTAGTTGGGTGTGCTCTTATTTCCTCTTGAATTTGGAAACAGGAGGATCAGAAGTTCAAGGTGACCCTCAGGTACATAATAAGTTCAAGGCCATCTTGGCGAATGAGACTCTGTGTCTTAGTTGGTGTTCTATGGCTGTGAAGAGACTCCATGAGCACAGCAACTCTTACACAGTGAAGCACTGAACTGGACTGGCTTACAGTTTTAGAGGTTTAGTCCTTTGTCATCATGGCGAGGGGCACAGTGGCATGCAGGCACACATGCTACCGGAGAAAAAGTCAAGAGTTCTACATTGGATCTACAGGCAGCAGAAATAAAGACACCTGGCTTGGGCTTCTGTCACCTCAAAGACTACCACCAGTGACACACTTCCTCTATCAAGGCCACACCTCCTAATCCTTCTAAAGTAGTACCATTCTCTGATGGCTAAGCATTCAAATATATGAGCTTATGGGGACCCTTCTTGTTCAAACCACCACACCCTGTCTCAAAAAACAGTAAACCAGAAAATTCCAACACACACATGGTGTTGATTTATAGCCTTCAGTAATGATCTATTATAATTTTTTCTGGGATAGTATAGTAGCCTTCCTTACTGAGGTTTTACTTACTGTGTCTCGGTTGTTGTCATAAAAAAGAAAGAAGAAAAAAAAAGAAAAAGAAAAAAAGTCACATGGAAAATTCCAGATACAATTAATCCATAAGCTTTAAATGATATTTATTATAATATATTATCACTGTTATGCTTTATTGTTAGTTATTGTTGCTAATCTTTTTGTGCCTGTTTTAAAAATTAAACTTTGATAATAGGTATATATGTATAGGAAAATACATGGTGTATTTAGGGTTCAATATTTGTCCAAGTTTCAGGTGTCCCTGGGATGCCTTTGAAGGCAACCCCACCACATCTACTTTTAAGTGATGAATAATAATTTTCTAGGAAAAATACTCTAGGTTTTTTTATAGTCTGTCTTAAGCTCTGTTTAACCGAATGAGCTAGGCTGAGGCTGTCCTTCTGTTTTATATAGCTGTTCCTTTCCATTGTTTCAGTTGTTGGTTGTTGGAGGTTCCTTTGGTCTTCGTGAATTTTCACAAATCCGATATGACGCTGTGAAGATTAAGGTAAGAACTATAATTGTTGTTTGACTTGTGTTCGAGTGTATGTTTTTTGGTTTAGAAGAATTACATGCTCAGGTCATTTAGCAATGTTAATCTGTCTTAAAAAAACTTAATAGATTATATTTGCACCCTCTTTTGTTTAAAATATCACTGATGAGTTCATGAAAGTGAGTAATAAAAAGCTTTGGTAACAGTTCTTCACTAGGAAATTTGTAATATTATTATCCCCCAAAATATTCTCAGATGTAGTTGTTTTGAGGAGTCATAAGGAACTAAAGAACATGGATCAACAATTTTACTTCATTTTATTTCACTAATTATAAATTTACTATTATATTTATATTTACTATACCAGTGATATTATAAATATATTGCCATTTCTCTCTAGTAACTGATACTAAAATAAAGTGTTTAATTCTTTATTATGTATTTCAGTACTCTAGAGAAATTTCCCATAATGTCATATTTTATCCTTTTTTTCTAAACTTTGTGAATTATAGTTACTTTAAGATCCTATCTCACATAAAGTTATAATTATCCTATTTTCTTCATTTTCACTATATGATTGTCTTTGAATATGCCTTACAATCATTTCCTGTTAAATATTGATTATTGTTTATAAGTAATCATAGAGGTTCTAGATGGTATTGCTTTCCTTCAGGAATAATGTATCCTTTTTTTTTTTCTATTTGGGGAGAGTGGAGTCTGGTACTCTTGATACTTGGATGTGAGCTGGGTCCTGGTTTGTTTAGAGTTGAGTTAGCCTTAGTGCATCTCTGTTCCTCCCTTCTTCTTTTTTAATATTTATTTATTTATTATGTATACAGTGTTCTGCCTACACTATACCTGCAGGCCAGAGAGGGCACCAGATCTCATTATAGATGGTTGTGGTTGCTGGGAATTGAACTCAGGCCCTCTGAAAGAGCAGGAAGTGCTCTTATCCTCTGAGCCATCTCTCCAACCCCCTCCCTTATTCTTAAGACCTGACCCTACATGACTTTCAATTAGGACTCCAGGAAACTCAGCTCAGTTTTTCAGAGATTTTTCATGTTAGCTATATGCTCTTGTCTTACAGAGTTTAGAATATAGTACTTTTTAAAAAGGAGATAGATCTCTGCCATGTGTCATTTGCTTTCTGCTTTTGTTACTATAGCCTTGTGTGATGATTTTTCTAATCCCCAGTAGCAGCATCTAACTGGTTTCCAGCCTTGGTTCCTCTTGTTTTTAAATTAACATATAAACTGCACGAGTGATAATCTTCATCATGGTATTTCCATGCATGTATGGAACGTGCTTTGATAAAATTGGTTCCCCTAGGGCCCTTTCTTATCCCTCTTCTCCCTTTCTGTTTTTCCAATACACATTTCCAATAATCCTTTTACTTTCTGTCCTATTTGTCCCACAGTTTTTATATATGAGAGCAACCTGTGATACCTGACTGTGACACAAACTCTCGGTTATGGTTCTGTGCTTGTTCCAGGGTTGGCAAGTGTAGCCAAGGGTGAAAATGGGTTTCAACTCCAATTCTCAGCTTTTAGGAGAAGCCCTTTTACTATAGTGGGATTTTATTTGCTAAGGCCTAAACTGAAGATTTAATTGAATTTTTAGGTGATTTTATTTTATTTTTTCTTGTTTTGCAAATTAGTTTGACATCATTGGACACCTTTTTTCATCTTACTTTTGTATAGAAAATAGAAGCACAGAAATGTAGCCCATGGAAATGTTAAGCAATGGGATAGTGTCTGCTGATAAGGAACAAATGGCATGTAACCAATAGCACTGATTATAATTCTGGAATCTCAGGTACACATGTGTTAGGATTTCTGGATCTACTAGTCATAATATATCCTTTTTTGGTTTGTCTCATTTGTGTCTATCTATACATCATTCTAATGGAACCCTGGGATTACCCCAGGGCCAACACTTTGTTCATAGGCTCTGTTAAGCCATGCATACACAGCTAGTCCATTCACTTTGTCTTGATTATTTCACTAGTCACACTCTTCTTTGTGACATGTACGTTAACAGGTATGAGCTCCAGGGGGCCACTGTGGAACCCCAAGTATTCCATAGCTCACTCTCTATTCATGGAAGGGGTTCTTTGGTTTTTCATGTGTATTATATAGTAGTATTTGAGTATTTCTGTGCTATGAAATCTATGTGCCTCCTGGACGCAGAAGGCCAGTGCTCAAAACTGCATATGCCTCTTTCACAAGTTATTCAAGCTCCTGTGCCAGCTTCCCTTACATGTAATAATGAAGATGAAACCCATGCTTATCATTCAGGCTTTGTGAGGGTTAAACAAGATGGTGTATGTCAAGCGCCTGGCACACAGGTGCTTGGTGTAAATCGGTGGCTATTACCTGGAGTTGTGTACTAGTTACCGCAGTGAATAGGACATATGGTTAAAATTGACTGAACTGTCCCAGCCATCTTTCCTATGACTTTGTTTGAAACAGGCTCTCACTGTGTCCCTGGCTGACTTAGGACTCACTATGTAGATCAGGCTGACCACAAACCATCAGAGATCCTCCAGTTCTGCCTCTTCAGTGCTAGGATTAAAGGCATGTGGCACCAGGCTTCAGCTTTCTTATGACTTTTAAAAGTAAAAATAGCCGGGCGTTGGTGGCGCACGCCTTTAATCCCAGCACTCGGGAGGCAGAGGCAGGCGGGTCTCTGTGAGTTCGAGGCCAGCCTGGTCTACAAAGTGAGTTCCAGGACAGCCTCCAAAGCTACAGAGAAACCCTGTCTCAAAAAACAAAAAACAAAAAACAAACAAACAAAAAAAAAAGTAAAAATAAATAAATAAAGTGAAAGATGAATGTAAAAGAATTAAATAATGTATGTCTCCCCTCTTCCCTTTTCTACAGGTTGATCCTGAATTGGAAAAAAAATTGAAAGAGAATAAAATAACTTTAGAGTCTGAATATGAGGTATAGTATGTTAATATTCTACGTTTTGTACAATCTCACTCATCATGACTGGTTCTGTTTCTCAAGATAAATCAATAGTGAAGAAAAAAATAATTTAATCTGAATGTGTGACATTTGGCAAATTATCTAAAATCTGGAACCAGAAGTGCTGGAGACTGCAGAGTTTTTCAGGCACACTTCACCAGTGGAGAATATTCCAAATCTGAACTGTCACAAGACCTGTAGGCTCTTTGTTGTTGTTTGTTTGTTTTGTGTTGTAAAGAAGAATCTGGGGACAAGCTCTGTTGTTTCCCGGGCCTGGAAACTTGGTAGGCCTCCCTCTCTGGCCTGAGGGTTGTCAGGGTTTGGTTTTAAATTTGGTGTGGTGAGTCTGAAGTCAGCTCTATTCTTGAGCAACTGTAGCCTTTTAGTTTCTTAGCTGGATGGCAGGAAACAAAAGAGTACTGAGGAGAGGCCTACACTCTGGGGGGCTGGGAGTGGAACCCAGTTCCTGACACATTTCCTAACGATGTCTTAGGCTCCTCATTTAGGTGAGTGTTAGGTTAGAGGCTTGGGTCATGCCTAGCCCATGTGCACAGCCTGGCGTTCAGCCAACTGCATGTTTTACAGATTTTCTACCAGGAGTCCTTCCTGTAAATGTCCTCTAAAGACAACATGTACCCATGACTGTCCTGTCAACCTTGCCTCTCATCTTAAGAATTATTTTAAATTCCCACAAGCACATATACATTAAGGTATCTGGATAACAGTCATTATTTTACTAATATCTATTGCCAGGAATGGTGGCATGTGTTTGATATCCCAGTACTTGGGGAGATGAGGCACTAGGATTGCTGCAGTTTAAAGCCAACTTAGGCTACATAGTGAGTTCAAGGCTAGCCTAGGCTATATAGATGATATCTCGAAAAACAAACATAAAGATAACCAGACAGAAAGGCTTTAGAATCTAAATGATCTGAAATTTAGATCAATTTATAATCTACTTGAAGATACTTTCTTGCCAAATTAATAGCATTGTGTACATCATATATACTTAATACATACTGCTGATTTTCCTTGTAGTTGTTATAGAAACCATAAGAGTTAAGAGCTGAATATAGAATATTTTGTCTCACCTTTTAGGAATTACTTATAAGAATCAATGCCAAGGTAGCCTGTGCTGCTTGCTAAAGATCACATAACTAGGCAGTAAAAGAGTTAATACCTGGTTGATGCCTAGATTGAAACATGTAGGGAAATATAAATTACTTTCTCCTTGTTTGTATATAAATTGTCCATTGATCTCTTGTAGCCTTTTTTTTTTTTCTCTCCTCTTTAGTTATTCCAGGACAGGAGCAGGTATATAGAAGTGACCATCAGAGAGGTCCATCCCTTTTCTGTCCATCCCTTTTCTCTTGCCTTCTCCCTGTGCTCAAGACATTTGATATTTTGTCTTTTTTTTTTTTTTTTCCAGAGCTGAGGACTGAACCCAGGGCCTTGGGCTTGCTAGGCAAGTGCTCAGCCACTGAGCTAAATCCCCAACCCCTTCCTTTTGTTATTTTGTGTTATTTTGTCTTTTTTTTTTTTTTTTTTTTTTTTTTTTGCTCAAGACATTTGAGACGACATGAAATGAGGATGCTCCCACGTGTAGTTCTGCTTACTGATGAGTGCTCTCCCCAGGTTTCTTGTGGAGAGTGACTCTATTCTGAAGCCCAGCATCATCTCTCAGGTGCAGAATAAGGAGCTTTGATCCCTTTCTTGTAGCACAGAAAATAAAAACCCAGAGACTGATAATGAAGTTTCAAGCTGAAGATCAGATAAGCAAAGCAGTTGGCCACTAGCTCTTACCTCTACTTCAAGGGTGACCTGACCTGGCTAGCTCCATGAATCCTCAGACTGCAATCCTAGACTATTGCCTCTCAACATGGCTGGAGACTAAATATTCACAAGAAGCCCTTTTCCTTCTCCTTTTGTAACTCCTTAGTGCTGGGATTAAAACCATGTGATCCCAAGTGCTGAGGTCACCTTTGTGTGAGCTGTTTCTCTTTGGGACTGGATCAATTTCATGTAGTTTAGTGTGGCCTTGAACTAACAGAGATCCATCTGCTTGTCTCTTGAGTCCTGGGATTAAAGGTGTGTGCCACCACTGCCTGGCTCTATGACGTGTGGCTAACTTTGATTTCTGTACCCTCAGGAAAGCTTTAATAAATCATAGTTATGTCACCACATTTCCGTCCTTGTGAGGACATAGGGTCTGCACCTTATTTCTTCTCTTTTCACCTGTGACCCACACTAGACTTTCAAGCTGTTGCTATGTTAGAGCAGCTTCATATGTACTCCTATTTTCCCAGCCTCTTCCCTTTCTTTGTGCTCTCAGAAACAGAGTGTAGACTCCTCTGACACTAATAGTTTGTCATTATGGGAAAAGGTAGATGTTAAGTCTCTGTAAAGCAAACCAAGACAGTTCAGACCCTCACGAAGTTCTTGAGCTTGGTTTCGAGTTGGTTTATTTGCTGAGCTTGTCCTGGAGCCTCTTGGGTTTTCCTTTATTGCTCAGCACTTACTGATGTCTCAACCAAAGCCACTGGGTGCTGGTACTAATATGTTAAACTTTGTGGTTCTATAGAAAATAAAGGACTCCACTTTTGAAGACTGGAAGAATATTCGAGGCCCAAGGCCTTGGGAAGATCCTGAACTCCTCCAAGGACGAAACCCAGAAACCCTTAAGCCTAAGGCAGCCTGACTGTGCTCAGTTTTTCAATAAAATGTTCTCAACTGGACCTGTACTCCATTAGGAAGAAGATTCCAGACCTGTGTAAACCTAGATGTGAGTAATGTGATGGAAGAAAATTTGAACTAAAAAGTCAAGTATAAGTTTTATGCTTTCCAGCCAGTCTACTTGCAAATGAAAGTAGCAGTGTTGAACAAACACTTACACGCATCAGTAAAAATGTGACCACTGCTGCCATAATGTGCCATGCATCCTCTTTTTCTACAAGCCACTAGTACACTTTGCTACCTTGTTTTGGTTTCTGATGAAAGTCATAGGCTTGGATCCAGATTTTCCAAATAAGATTGTGACTTTATGTTAAAACTATAAATAAGCAGTCATAATCTAGTAATGGTCTTGTCTTTTATTCCTAATACTTCATAAACCAGCCTTGAAACCACTGAACCCATTAGGAAATTATACAATTTACCTAATTCATGCTTGGTGCATGATGGTAAGAAGATGTGGCACATTTGTTGAGGTTATCAGATGCCTATGTTAGGCCTCAGCATGGTCTGGTTCTAGTTGGCTTGTCAGAACCCTGTGTGATTCTAATGTGAATTCTACACACCTGAAATTTTAGCTGCAGTGGTTCCACTGTCACTACTCCTCCAAATTAGAAAAACACACTACTTTCCCTCAATCAGATTTTCAGTCCATTTCAACAGGTTACTTTTAGTAATGTTAGAATGTTACTTAGTGGATAATGACAAACTGATTTCAAAGGTAGTGTCTTAGTTACTTTTCTATTTCTGTGATTAAACACCATGACTAAAAGCAACTTGGAGAAGAAAGGGTTTATTTTGCTTACACTTCCAGACAGTAGTCCATTACTGAGGGAAGTCAGGGCAGGAACTGATGCGGGGGCCATGGAGGAACACGACTTACTGGCTTGCTCCCCATAGCTTACCCAGCTTCCTTTCGTATACACCTCAGGACCACTCAGGGGTAGCACCAAGCACAATGGGCTGCGCTCTCCCACACCCATCATCATTTAAGAAAATGACTTGCAGACTTGCCTACAGGACAATTATTACACAGACATTTTTCCCAATTATGCTTCCTTTTTCCAGATGACCCTATCTGTGTCTAGTTGACAGGAAAACCAACCATAATAATCCACCCCTTGTCAACTTGACACACAAATATGGCACGTATTAAGCCATAACTTTTCTTGCTCCTCCCATGGTGTCATGCTAATATTAATATGACAGTGGAAAACATTTCCAACTTTTAAAAATCCCAGTCTTTAACAATTTCCACACTTTAAATGTTCAGTCTCCAAAAGTTCAAAGCCTCTTTAAAATTCCAGAGTTTCTCTAAATATCCAAAGTCTGTGTACCTGTGGGCTCCTGTAAGACAAAGCAAGAAGAAAACTAAAGAAAAAGTTAAATACTTCCTACCTCTGAGAAGGAAGAACCAGGACATGCACAGTCACACTCAAATAAAACTTGAAATTGGACAGTGTAAAAAGTTTGGTGCTTGGTATCTGGGACCCATTCATGATCCTCCAGATTCTTAGGGTTTGGACAGCTGGCTTCACTTTGGGAACTGCCACCTGCAAGCACTTGTAGTTTGTCTCCTAGGCTCAGGCCATTCTACCACAGCTGCTGTCCTTGGTGCTTGTCTCTCGGTTGGCCCTGGCATCTCTACAGTGCTGTGGTCTCCTCCTGCAGCTCTGCTGTGCTTTCATTATTAGCCCCTCACTTTGACCCTACCACATGGTGCCAAGCCTTGTCTTCTCTCCATGACCTCCTCAATCCTGGGCCTTCTCCTGCAGCTGAGGCTCCATCTTCACGAATGGCATCTCTCTTCAGGGACTCCAGCCCTGACAAACAATGCCAAGTCTCAGCTCTGCTCCATGACCCCTCCATGCCTTCAAAACCAGTACAACTTGGGTGACTCTTACACTACCGAGTTCAGTTGCCAGCATGAGATGGAGTCTCAGCTCCTTCTGGACCATGGCTTCTGTGTGCCGACTGAGAGGAAACGCTTTGCAGAAGATTTTGCATCAATGATTGTGGTAGTTTGAATGTAATCAGTCACCATAAGCTCATAGGGAGTGGCACTATTAGGAGGTGTGGCTTTGTTGGAGTGGGCATGGCCTTGTTAGAGGAAGTGTCTCACTCTGGGGGCAGGATTTGAGGTTTTCTATGCTTAGGATACCCCCCAGTGTCTCAGTTGACATTCTGACCTGAAAGCTGTAGGACTCTCACCTCCTTCTCCAGAACCATGTCTGCCTTCTCACTGCCATGCTCCTCACCATAATGATAGTGGACTGAGCCTCTGAACTGTCAGTGAGCCACCTCAATTAGATGCTTTCCTTTAGAAGACATGTCATGTCATGGTGTCTCTACACCAATAGAAACCCTGCGTTGACCACAGCTCATTTTTTTAGCCACTGTTCTTGCAAAGGTTTTACTTTAGTGGTTCTGATCTCATGTTAATTAGAGGCCCAGCTGACCAGATCCACTATCAAATGGCCCTGATAGTCTTTAAGGGACTCCCAAACTTCTCTGTGAAACTTCACAAACCAGGCCTCTGTTGTCTGCATTTCTCTTGATGTTCTTTCCATCCAGACTCCCACAAAACATCTGTGAGCACTCACAGCTTTTCCTGTCCAAGTTTGCAAAGTCCTTCCACAATCCTCCCAAACTTTGTGGCCAGTTTGTTACACTAATACCCTGTTTCTAGTACCAAACTCTACCTTAGTTACTTTTCTATTGCTGTGATAAAATACCACAACCAGAAGCAACTTGAGGAGGAAAGCATTCCTTTTGATTACACTTCCAGGCAATGGCCATCAGAGAGGGAAGTCAAGACAGGAACTGATGCCGAGGCCACAGAGAAGTTCTGCTTATTGGCTTGCTGGCTCAGTGAGAAACTATCAAGAAAGAGAGAGTCAGAAATAGACTTTCACCATCTTCCTTTGCATGTGTTCAAACAGTATGCACACTTGTACACACACCACACACTCACACATGCATATACCACAGATGTGCACACACATGATAGTCTACATAAGTGACCTTAAGAATTCTACCATAGAACTCCTACAGCTGATAGACACCTGCAATAAAGTGGCAGGATACAAGATTAACTAAAAAAAAACAATAGCCCTACTATATATAGACAATAAATGTACTGAGAAAGAAACCAGAGAAACACCACCCTTTACAATAACCACAAACAACAGAAAATATCCTGAGGTAACTCTAACCAAACAAAGACCTGTATGACAAGAACTTTGAGTCATTACAAAAAGAAGTTAAATAAAATACCAGAAAATGGAAAAATCTCTCATTCTCTAAATCCCAGCACAATTCTTCACAGTCTTTGAAAGGACAATTTTCAACTTTATATGGAAAAACAAGAGACCCAGCATAGCTAAAACAACCCTGTACAATAAAGGTACTTCAGAAGGCATCACCAACCCTGACTTCAGGCTCTACTCTAGAGCTATGGTTATGAAAACAGCTTGGTATTAGCACAAAATAGGCAGGAATGGAATTGAATGGAAGACCCGGACATTAATCCACACACCTATATATTCCTGATCTTTGACAAAGAAGCTAAAACTATACAATGGAAAAAAGAAAACATCTTCACAAATGGTGCTGGCTTAACTGGATGCTGGCATGTAGAAGACTTCAGATAGATCCATGTCTACCACTATGCACAAAACTTAAGTTCAAATGAATCAAAGACCTCAACATAAATCCAGCCACACTGAACCTCTTAGAAGAGAAAGTGGGAGGTACCCTTGAACCAATTGGCCCAGGAGACCACTTTCTAAACATAACACCAGCAGCACAGACACTGAGATTGACAATTAATACATAGGAGCTCCTGAAACAAAAGCTTCTGTAAGGCAAAGGACACAGTCAACAAGATAAAACGGCAGCCCACAGAATGGGAAAAGATATTCACCAACCCCACATCTGACAGAGGGTTGATCTCCAAAATTTACAAAGAATTCAAGAAGCTAGTCTCTAAAACACTAAATAATCCAATTAAAAAGTGTGGTACAGAACTAAATAGAGAATTCTCAATAGAGGAATCTAAAATGGCTGATAGACACTTAAGAAAGTGCTCAACATCCTTATCCATCAGGGAAATGCAAATCAAAACAACTCTGAGATACCATCTTACTCCTGTCAGAATGGCTAAAATCAAGAACACCAATGACAGTCTATGCTGGAGAGGATGCTGAGGAAGGAGAACACTCCTCCACTGCTGGTGGGAGTGCAAACTTGCACGGTCACTCTGGAAATCAGTATGGAGATTCCTCAGGAAAATGGGACTCAGTCTATCATAAGATCCAGCAATTCCACTCTTAGGCATATACCTAAAAGATGAACATTCATACAATAAGGATGTCTGTTCCACTATGTTCATAGCAGCATTATTTGTAATAGCCGGAGCCTGGAAGCACCCTAGTTGCCCCTCAACAGAAGATTGGATAAAGTCAGTGTGGTACGTTTACACAATGGAGTACTACTCAGCAAGAAAAAACAATGGAATCTTGGAATTCGCAGGCAAATGGATGGCACTAGATGAAACCATCCTGAGTGTGGTAACCAAGTCACAAAAAGACAATCATGGTATGTACTCATATATGGATTTTAGACATGAGGCAGGGGAGTGCCAGCCTACAATCCCACTGCCAGAGAATCTGGGAAACAGAGAAGGGAAATAGGACAGGATCTCCTGAGCAGATTGGGAGCATGGGATGTGGGGAGAGAGAGCTGGGAAAAAGAGCGGGGGAGAAGAGGAGGGGAGAGGAGGACATGGGGGAGCAGGAAAGTTGAGTTGGGGAAGAATAGAGGAGAGCAGGATGTGAGATACCATAATGGAGGGAATCATAGGTTTGAGGAGAGATCTAGCATTAGTTAGATTTCCAGAGATCTACAAGGATGACACCAACTGGCAATCTAGGCAATAGTGGAGAGGCTACCTTAAATGCCCTCCTCTGATAATGAGATTGATGACTACTTTATTTGCCATTCTATAGTCTTCATTCAGTGGCTGATGGAGGCAGAGACAGACACCCATAACTAAACACTGAACTGAACTCCTGGAACCCAGTTGCAGAGAAGGAGGAGTCATGAGCAAAGGGGTCACGACCAAGCTGGTAAAACCCACAGGAACAGCTGACTTGAACAATGGGGAGCTCATAGACCCAAGACTGATGGCTGAGAGGCCAGCATGGGACTGATCCAGACACCCTGATCATGGGTGTCAGTGAGAAGGCCTCAGCAATCTATGGGGCCTCAGGCAGTGGATCAGTATTTATCCTTGGCATCTGAATGGACTTTGGGAGCCCATTCCACATGGAGGAATACTCT